GCGGAGTCCCTCGCCCTAGGCCCTGTAACCAGAGTTCAAGGCGGGACTCTGTGCGTCTCTCGCATGGGCCTCCTATTGCCGCGCGCCCGGTCCCCCCCCCACACAGCCCTGGGGGCACCGCCCTGGGGGCGGGGGGCGGCTGGAGCGCGCACGCGGGTCCCCGGGGCGAGCGGCGAGGACGCCGGCGGGCGGCGCGCACGGGTGTCCCGCGGGCTCCGCGGAGAGAGCGGAGGGGACAGGGTGGGCCCAGTGGTGGGCGCAGGGTGGTGAGGGTCAGGGGCATGAATGAGGAGGTGAAGTCGGCACTTATGACCTCATGTAGTGGTTAGTAACGCTGGCGAGGGGGTGCGGAGGTGTTATCAGTTCGGGTATGAACCTCCTTGGTGAGCGGCAGAACTCACACCCATCTCCCAGGCCCAGGGTCCAGGGAAACCCTTCAGTTGGCGCTGTGGTCCAGGTAACACTTGAGAAGGTGTCCTCAGGGAAGTGAGTTAAAGCCTGTGATTAAGCGTCAGCCTATGAACCAGGAGGTCAGGGTTCAATTCCCGTCTGGGCATTAGCCACAGTTGGGCTAGATCCCTCTGCAGGAGGCAGCCAATCAATGGTTCTCTCTCATCATTGATGCTTCTCCTTTCTTTCTCCCTTCCTCTCTGAAATCAATAAAAATATACTTAAAAAAAGCCAGGCCCCCAGATTTGCATTGTCTATGAAGTCAAGGAGAATTACTATGTTTAGGTCTTTGTGGTTATGTTCACTATTTAAGTCCCAGATATTTGCAAGATAAAAAGTTTATTTCTAAAAAAGTCCCAGGTCTCTCCATGTGGTGCCCAGATATGTACCACCCTTGACCTCTCCTAAGAGCCTGGTGAACGCCAGACCAGGAGTGTTTTACTTATAAACCTTTAAAATCCTCAGTGACCCATTATCAAGATATGTTAGGAAAATCTTAAACTTTGCAGCCTCTTGAGGTAATGTATATACCTGCCTTCCAAGAAAGCATTTTCCCTTATTTTCCTAAGCTCATCTTGTTTGTAGACAATAGATTTAAATAAGATGACGTGTGTGGAAAGCACTCTGTATAAATGCAGTAATTATGTATAAGCAGCATGTAATAATTATAGTTGTTGAAACTCAAGGAATATAGGATAGTGTGGCTCGATCTTACAGTCTCCAGTTTTTACCGATTTGTTCAACAAATAGTGATTGAGTACCCACTATCATGTGCCAAATCTTGAAGGGCCTTGTAGTCATGCAAATAATTTGAACTTTACTTTATAGGATTCCCTATTAGATAACAGTTTAAAAAAAATTTTGGGTGGAGGCATGATGTGGTTAGACTGGCACAGAAATGGCTGGAGGGAGGCTAAGACAGGAGTCGGGGAAGTTATTCAGTTCTGTGGTTTTCAAATTAAATTTTAAAACAAAGCCTGTCACAGAACCTCAACATATAAAGTAGATGAAAACTTGTGCTTTATTACTAAACATTTGAAAGTCCAAAATTTTAACGTTAACTTTCTAGGTAAATTTAAAAAAACAAGAATGAGGTTGGTTTGTTGTCTTGTGGGGTTTCTTTTTGTTTTGTTTTTAGCAAAAAGGGAATTAATTGTAAGGAAATTGGGTAGCTAAAATAATAGATACAAAGTCTTCAGACCACGCTCAGAAAATGTATTTTTTGGACCCAACCCTTGCCCCTGCTGTTTCTGTGCTCAAAACATTTTTTTTTTGTTGAAGTTGGAGGTTATGGACAATTGCAGTTATAGCTGCCTAGGGACAGTTTATTTCTTATGCCTCTGTTTTGGTTGTATACTATTAAGAAAATCCTGATCCAGAGAAGTAGATACAAATATGAGTGGTTTTTAAATGATTCACCTTGAAATCTTGGGCATGGGCTTCAATTACAAAGATGGCAGTGGAGGTGAATTCTGGGTCTACACTGAAATGACTTCACCTCAAATTAATGTGTGGGCAGTTTTGCAATATGTTAAATTTTGGCAATACAAAAATCTGTTTTAAAAAATGAAATGAATCAAATATTGTGGAGCCTCTGAAGTATGTCTCAGAAACCCTATGTTCTGTGGCATGTACTGTAAAAACCACTGATAAGGAGAAGCAGAGACTTAGATATGTTTCACTGCATCTTCTCATGAAGGCTTAGGAAAAGGGCTAGGGAACTGAAGGATTTCTGTTGCAAGATGCTCTCTTGGAAAAACCTCATCAATGATGATGATTCCCCTAATCCAAGGCTCTTTGACTATCTCTCTTTGTTTTCTAAGGTAGGAAATTCCTCCAAGCAGAGCTGATAGCTGGGGGACGACACCCAGGTAGTCAAGAGTGTTTGAACAAAATATTGCCCTAACCTGATGATTCTGAGCTGGAGAACATGACTTCTAGATATTTCTTTTGACTTTTATAATTGAGAGAACATACTTTCTCAAAAAACTCACACCTCAGATCAGATGCTTGATTTTCTTTTCACTTCCAATTCTTGATGGCCATAAACAAAGGGGCTTAGAAGTTGATATTCAACAGCCTAAGTAAATGTTTAAAAAACACTGTGGCCAACAATAAAAAATAAATATATGAATACTTAGTTTTCTACAGAGCATGGAGAAATGGCATATCCATTAAAAAGCACCTTAAAAATATAAAGAGTGACACTGTGCAGAGCACTTAGCATGTACATGGCTGTATCATGCTGCTCCTAGAAAGGATTTAGCCTTCTTGTTTTTGTTTTGAAGACACCTAGGACATTGTGGATGTTCAGAACATACTAAAAGTTAGTTTTACAAAATTGATAATATAGAATATATTAAAATTAAGACTGTTCATTAATGGCTGGGGGGGGTTACCTGGGGGGAAAGGAGACATATGTAAAACTTTAGACAATAACAGAAAAAAAAAGAGAGAGTGAAAAGGTAGTCCACAGAGTGGGAGAAGTTAGATCTGACAAAGCATTTGGAATCTAGAACAAATCATTAAAAAAGACAATCCAGCCCTAGCCAGTTTGGCTCAGTGGATAGAGCGTCGGCCTGTGGACTGAAGGGTCCCTGGTTCGATTCTGGTCAAGGGCACATGCCCGAGTTGCAGGCTCGATCTCTAGTAGGGGTGGTGCAGGAGGCAGCCAATCAATGATTCTCTCTCATCATTAATGTTTCTATCTCTCTCTCCCTCACCCTTCCTCTCTGAAATCAATATATATATATATTTAAAAGACAATCCAATAAAAAGGACAAAATATTTGAATGGACTCTTCACAAAGGAGAATGTCTGAAATAATCAATAAAGGTGAGATGACTTAATTTCAATAATCATCAAAAAATGGAAATTAAAACCACAATGCAATGCCATTACACACTCACCAGAGTGGCTAAAATAGAAAAGATAGAAAGTACTAAGTGTTGGTCAAGAAATGCAGCTATTATACACTGCTGGTAGCCACTTTGGAAAAATTGGAGGGAGCATATATTACAGGTGAATATATAGGCATACCTTGTTTTTTTGCTTTTTGCTTTATTGCACTTTACAGATGTTGCGTTTTTACAAATTGAAGGCAAGATTGTCCATCAGCAAAAGGATTACCGAACCTGCAATGTCTCTGGGGTATGCCTGTAAGCATTTCTTATGACCCAGCATACCATTTCTAGGTATATATTTGTATCAGTGTGCTCAGGCTGCCATCACAGACTGGGTGGTAAACAACAGAAATTTATTTCTCACTGTTCTGGAAACTGGTAAGTTTAAGATCTAAATGCCAGCCAATTGGGTTCTTGGTGAGCGTTCTCTTTTTGGCTTGCAGCTCCGTCTTACTGTATCCTCCCATGACAGAGAGAACTAGTTCTGGTGTCTGTCTCTTTCTCTTCTGATAAGGGCTCTGGCCCTTATGACTTCATTTAACCTTTATGACTTCCTCATGGACCCTATCTCCATATATAATCACATTAAGTATTAAGGTTTCAACAGGTGAATTAGAAGGGACATAAATATTCAGTCCAAAACAGTAACCAATAGAAACTGTGTGCATATGTTCTCTAAAAGGCATATGGGAATATTCATAGCAACACTATTTATATTTTTAATATTTGACCTAGAAATTACTCTAATGCCTATCAAGAGTAGAGCAGATAGACAAATTGTGGCATATTCACATGATGGAATGCTATACAGCAACGAGAGGGAATGATCTAATATAGAATCACACACAATGTGCATGAATCTCACAAACATAAGCGTGAAAGAAGCCAGACATTCAAGTACCTACTATACGATTTCATTTATATAAAGTATAAAAACTGGCCACAACTCATTTATGCTGGTAGAAGGCAGGATAGTGGTCATTCTTAGCAAGGTGGGGAAAGGGAGGGCTAGTGACTGGAAGGAGTATGAGGAGACTTCTGGGAGACTGGGATTATTCTCATTCTCTCTTTTATTTCATCTTTTATTTCTATAGCTTTTAAAAAAATAATAGACTTTATTTTTAAGTGTCATTTTAGATTCACAGCAAAATAAGAGAAAAGTACAGAGATTTATCATCTATTCCTGCCCACACAGGAAAAGCCTCCCCTGTTATCAATGTCCCCCACCAGAGTAGTACATTTGTTATAAATAATGAACCTACAAATTATTCTCTTTCTTGATATGGATTCTAGTTAAATGAGTATATTCAGTTAGTGGAGATGTATATCTATATATATATATATATATATATATATATATATATAGAGAGAGAGAGAGAGAGAGAGAGAGAGAGAGAGAGAGAGAGATTTCAAAGAGGAAAAGAGAGAAACATGAATGATGAGAGAGAATCATTGATCGGCTGCCTCCTGCACACCCCCTACTGGGGACCAAGCCCACAACTTGGGCATGTGCCCTTAACCAGAATCAAACCCAGGACCCT